CACCGTCGATGACACTCATCCCAACACTGAAGACAATAGTTTACATTACAATCACTATTATTGCACTTCACGTACTGATTGTGTCCAACATTTTCATCACAAACCACACACTTCTTCGTCGCAAACAATGCCAACACTTTTCCGATTAGTTTCACAAGAAGTCCACAATTGGTTTCATTAATCAATCCGTAGACATAAGCGTTGCTCAAGTGATCGGTTGACGTCTTGAACAGTTTGTCGGCCACTAAATGTCGGATTCGTTGGACGCCATATATCAGGGATCCCTTCCTCCTCTTCAGAGTCTTGTTGTAGAGAAAAAGCGATCGTTTTTTGGCTCTTTTGGGGTAAAAGTAGCCGCAAATCACTCGTCGGAGTCGTAATGAATACATGTCTACAAAATTCAATAGACATACGAATAGAAAGTATTTGTAGAGTTGAGTGGAGACTATGTCTTCGGTGGGGATCAGATCCATTGTACACTCGCTTGTGGTAAACGTCTGGTTGATTACTTTGTCAAATGTGAAATACTTGAGTGTTGCCCTAACCTGGCGAACCATATAACCTTCATAATAATTGTATTTCTCACTACCGGTTACGTTTGGGTGCAACCGATGTACACTAGTAATTGAAAAATCTCAAAAATTTATGTTTGGTATTGTATCGGTATCGGTGAACATTATAAAACTCAGTATCGGTATCGGTATTGTTAGTATCGTTAGTGTCGGTAGTATTGTTAGTATCGTTAGTGTCGGTAGTATTGGTAGTATCGTTAGTGTCGGTAGTATTGGTAGTATCGTTAGTGTCGGTAGTATTGGTAGTATCGGTAGTGTCGGTAGTATTGGTAGTATCGGTAGTGTCGGTAGTATTGGTAGTATCGGTAGTGTCGGTAGTATTGGTAGTGTCTGTAGTATTGGTATTTTAAGCATGCGCAATCTCATGCTTATCAAAACATTATGTGCTTTAATACAAGTGAATAATATATTACTAGAGTCTTATTAATTAATGGTTTTAAAAAATGACTACAATTAGTGGCCCAAGTGATGAAAATTAACCACAAATAATTGAGTCAATAAGAAATCAATCGAATCAAATAACTTATACAAACAAAATTTTTAAATAATTATAATTATTGATAGTGTCGGTGGTGTCGTTAGTATTGGTAGTATTGGTAGTGTCGGTAGTATTGGTAGTATTGGTAGTGTTGGTAGTATTGGTAGTATCGGTAGTATCGGTATTGTTGAATATCTAGTGTCGGTGTCGGTATCGGTATCGCGACACCGATACCGATACTCAGTATCGGTAGTATTGTATCGCGACACCGATACTGGAATTTCAATCTCTAATGTACACCGTGTTGAGTGATGACCACATTCTTCAGGTTGTTGTACAGCAGATACGATATATCGTAAAGCATTACATCCAAAGTGATTGACACCCAAATCACTATCACAAATATGACCAGAAATGTTGTCGTGACCTTTAAGTGCCTTTTCTCTGCCGGCGAGAGTCGATAGCTATACGGATCCAATAGATCCAGTCTTTCAACCTTCTTCAGCGGTAATAGAGTTAATTTGTCCTAAAAATAATGCAAATGATAAGTGATATCAACAGAAATAAGACAATGAATTACCGCTTTCTTTCTTCGGGCGTCGATTCGGCGGAAATAATAGTGATATAATTGTTATCAAAGTTAATGTCTTTGAGATAATCGTAATGATAGGACTTCGCGCCCAAGAATACCATCAGAAAGAAGAATATCATTAATCGTCGGACAACTGATCCGGACGGAAATAAGTAGTGATATAATTGTTATCAAAGTTAATGTCTTTGAGATAATCGTAATGATAGGACTTCGCGCCCAAGAATACCATCAGAAAGAAGAATATCATTAATCGTCGGACAACTGATCCGGTCATTCGCGCATACATTGCGGCGCTTCTCTTGTAGTGATTGATCTCTTTGGCCACTGATTTGTATTTCAATATATCGCGGAAATCAGGAACACTTATATTGGACTGAATGTCGATTTTATCGGTAAATAGTTTTGACAAATTAGTTGTCCTCTGGTCTTCCATCGCATCCAAAGCCATCGATTGATTTTCATAGGCTTTACAAAAATTGTTGCTTATGTTCTGCATTGTTGGATGTTTGCAAAATGAGAACTCGGTCAATTTCTCAGCTACACTTATTATGAAAGGCACCTGAATTGTACTATTTTAAAATACAATAGTCATTTTTTAATTCTCTCTCTCTCTCTCTCTAATAACAAGGTTTGCAAACAAAACTCTGGACAAATACTTACAGCCAGCTAAAAACGTAGTTAATTCTGGGGTAAACGAGTTTATTATAACAGTATCGAAACGTTTCGTTCAAATTGGTGCACATTTTGTCCATTTTTTCCTTAAATTTATGACCGATTTTCTCTTCATTGGCGACGGACTCGTCAGCACTGGTCTTATTCTTCTTTTGGAAACCCTTTGGTGAGAATCCAAACGCCTCTTTAAACTCGGTTTCGTTTCCCTTTAAATAATTATCTGTCATTAAATTGGTTGAGATCTCAATCATCGGATCCGTTAGAAGTGATGCGTAAGAATAGCTCTGTTTGGCACCCATTTTGAGCAAACAAGTGGTCCATTGAGTCAATTCGGCCACATTTTCGGCGATATTGACAATCGGTTTGTCGATTAACATAATGGCAATCATCGCTATCAGAAAGTTGCGGCCACTTCTGCCTATGGATTAGCAGTGGTTTGAAATTATTATAGAGTTATCAGTTTGTTATAAATGTATGGCATTATCAGGTGTTGGGATGTATTACCGAGAAATGAGGGTAAAATAAGTGCACAAATGGCCCGCATTTCCATCGAAACGGTAAACATAATCGTAACCAACGATACAATAGTATAACGAATAAGTCTTTCCATTTTGAGGTCGAAATCAAATCTATAGACAATATATGCGTAAAACAGATAACCGATTATAAAACCCATCGGAAGGCATAACAGTTGACGCAAAGCCGGGTATTTAGTACTGAAACACAACTTATAAACAAACGGACACTTCGTTTGCAATTGATGTCCGATTTTATCCAAAACCAACTCTAATTGATATCGAAATTTCATTTTTGTTAACACAAGAGATAGAAAACGAACTTAAAAATGCAATAATTTGAGATAAAAAACAAATTGAATTGAATTTAAATTCAATTTAAAAACGAATTTATTGTCTAAATGTTTGAATTATGTTTCAATTCATATCATTATAATTGTTGTCATTATTATTATTATCGATGAAATTTTTATTCAAATCTCGCGAAAGTTTTATCAAAAATTACATCAATTATTGATATTTTATTGAATTCTTTTCACAAAATTTGTTTATTTTAAGTTCAGATCAAACATAAAGTTTGAAAAATGTCTTAATTAGTAAATTATCACTCTTTGGATCAGTCATCGGTGGTCTATATGAAGAGATGATAACTTTGTGAAAAACAGTTTAATTTCAGTCAAAAATCACAAAATTGTTCACAACTTGTGTTGTTTTCAATGGAGAGAAAACAACTGTAACTTTAGTACAAGTTTTGCAAACATTTCTATTGCTATTGAAATGAGAATTGTTTTAATTAAATGATCACTAATTTGTGTCAACCATTGGTTTCAATTAAAAGGTAATTAATAATTAAAAATACAATTTTAAACAAATTTATTAATTGATTTAAAACTAAATAACATTACATTAGTTCCCGACAAACAAGAAGTGCCTCAAAGTCTGGTCAATGTGTTCGCCGTCTTCGACATCACTGGCGGCCAAACACCTGAAGACATGTCGCATATGTCTGACCGATGACCACATCTCACAGATGGTGGAGCCGTGTCTGTGCGCCGGCTCTGCGGCTGCCGTTCACTACTATTGTCTCATTCAATGGATATCTGTGTCCAGAAGTGATGTCTGCGGTGTCTGTCGATCGCAATATCGGTTCATACGATTGACACGACTGTCCCCTCCGTTTACCGCTTACGCCCTCGACGTCTATAATGACATAAAACGGCACAAAAGAGCTGTCCTTTCGGCGATTGTAATTCATCTATTGATGTATACGTTAGCCATTGCTCTCGTATACCATTATTTACCGCAAATAAGCCAAAGGATGGTCGAAATGATTGTCATTTTAAGCATTATTTGTTTAGTTCTGGTTTCACTCATCTGGTCGTTGATTGTCAAGGATTACAGGCACTGGCGGATCAGTCATCCGACTCTTTGCATTCAAACCATACCATCGTTTGTCTGTAATAAACATCTGAAATATCAACAGATTATAACAGTTTCATAGTTTTGTACATTTGTTGTGAAATATTTGTGTTTATTTTTTAGATAACTTTTGTTTGCTATGTTTTAACGTTGATTTGCTGTCAATTTAAAAATTTATTAATTATAATTTTATACACATTTATCTAAACAATTCATTCAATGCTTAAATATATTTATTTCAATTTAATTAAAGAAAATTCAGTGATTTTTAAAGACTTTTAATTACATTATTTTTTGTATTAAATTAATCAATTAGTGTGCATGGTTATTAGCAATTAAGCTTGACCATGGTTGTTGAGATGGGTGGTAATGGTCATATCGGTGGCCGAGTCGAGTGAGCACGTGGTCGGGCAGTTGGCACCAGTGATTGAGACACTCATTTGGGACACACGTAGAGATGAGAGGGAATAGTCAACACAGGCTAAGGGAATGTCATTTGTATACATTGTCTNAGTGAGCACGTGGTCGGGCAGTTGGCACCAGTGATTGAGACACTCATTTGGGACACACGTAGAGATGAGAGGGAATAGTCAACACAGGCTAAGGGAATGTCATTTGTATACATTGTCTGCACGTATAGGAAATCTCCGGCACATCTGCCAGACGTTATGGTTCCCAAATTGACCTCAACTATGTTGGCTGGGAATGAGATAAATGTGATTATTGCCTGATTATAGAGTAATCTTAAGTTTAAATTAAAATTATATTTAGGTTGAGTAGTATTCATACCGTTGACGAAAGACATGATTTGGTTGCTGTCGGCCAAACCCATGACCTCCTTCTGGCCATTGAAGTCTGCGGTGTATGAGAACGGGGTTTGTCTGTAATGATAGCCATTACACGTTAACTCTATGGGAGCGGACT